GGAGCGCGCACCGCCTCGCCGCCCTTCCTACCCTCTTCCGTGGGCCTCTCGTCTGCGCTTGGCTCCGGCGACTCCGTTCTGCTAATCCTCTGGTGGTTTTCTGGGTTATTTAGGCAGGTGTAGGTGGAATCTAAGTGATCAGCAGGACGCGCGGTGAGCCCAGCGTCCTCCTACGCCGCCATCTTCCTCCTGGCCTAAAGTAGAATTTTAAAAGGAAAAAAAAAATGGGGCCCTGGAGTCATTATAAATGTGAAGAAAATCAGTTTTTTCTGGGGCAGAGGGCAACAGAAAAGGTACTGTAAAATTACACTAAATTCCAGCAGTTTCACTGAAATCAAATGAGATGCCAGAATGTTTATGAGCACTTCTCTGAGCACATTCCAGTCAGCACTTGGTTAGAAATGTCACTATCACACTTTCTTGATGTCCCACACTAAGTCAAAACTCTTGTTAAAGTTAAGTTCTTCATTGTACCGACAGCTGAACTAGTCAACTGTCCTTCAGTTGGAAGTAGATCAGTCTTCAGTTCTAGGATGTTCTTCTCACTCTTGTCACAGAATAGATACATTACAGAAAAGAAAGGAGAAAATAGAAAAGGGAAAGAATGTCGCTGTAAGGGAAACATCCCTCTGGGCTCATCTATCTTTCTGTTAAGCCTCTTAATACCTTTTCTGATGTTGCTGTCATTTCATTGTATTTTCAGACCTCCAGTCTGGCTCAGCTGCGGGCAGTGGTAGTGGCGGAGGCAGCGGTGGCAGCGGCGGTGGCAGCGGAGGTGGAGGAGGAGGAACAGGAGGAACTCAGAGCCCTGCAGGCCCTGGAGGGATATCCCAGCACCTGACTTACACATCTTACATCCTAAAGCAAACGCCTCAGGTCTGATCGTTTGTGACTGGTGTCTTTTAAATCCTTTGGTTCCTTAATAACTGCCTTTAATTATAGTGGATTTATCTTTACATCTCTGGGATCAGGAGTCAATACTAACATTTTAGCTATGTTATGAATGTATATTATTTTGGGCTTGTTTTATGTTGAGACAAGAGGTCCTAGACATTCAGAAAGACTTAAGTAACTTTCCCAAGATGTCTCTGCTAAGCCAATGATAGAATTTGGATTTAAACCCAGATCTTTCTGACTTAAAGAAAGATTTTTTCCTATGCTTTTGCCTTCCAAATCCATGAGTTAGTGAGTAGTGTTCATGTGCAGTTGAAAATTTTCTCTTAGAAGGGAGTAACCAAAGAGGTACTATCAAGTTAAGGTATTTGGAGTTAGGTTGGATTCATGATTAGGAACAAGTTTCTACTTTCTTTCCCTTCATTGCTAAAGTCTTGACTCCTCTTTAAGAATTTTTGTTCTCAGTGTTCTTACTAAGGATGGATAGTTATGAATCTTGAAAATTAAATCCAGATTTAAAGACTCAGATGTAAAACTTGAGTTTTTAAGCAGCCTGCTCCACAGCTACTGTGCAGAGTTCTAAAAGTGGGGAGAGCTTTTGGGAGGGACCCTGAGAGCAGAGCCGTTCCTTAAAATTATTTTGGCTGAGTTGGAGAATTCAAGGGGGGCATTGTAGCTTGTAACATGGGACCTTCTGATTTAAAGGGTCAGGACAAGTCATTTGAACTTAATAATTACTGAGTAGGTCTTTATTTGTTTCTAGGGCACATTTTTAGTTGGTCAGCCATCACCCCAGACATCTGGAAAACAGCTGACTACTGGGTCAGTGGTCCAAGGAACGCTGGGAGTCAGCACATCTTCTGCACAAGGGCAACAAACATTAAAAGTCATCTCTGGACAAAAAACCACTTTGTTTACCCAGGTAAATAAACACATACCCCAAATACAAGGTGGTTATGGCATTTATTAAAACTTTTACAGCTTATCCTTTTCCACAAAGAAATTAAGGTTGCCCAAGAAAATGAATAGTAAGGGGCGCCTGAGTGGCTCAATCAGTTAGGCATCTGACTTTGGCTCAGGTCATGATCTCCAGCTTGTGGGTTTGAGCCCCACGTCGGGCTCTGTGCTGACAGCTCAGAGCCTAGAGCCTGCTTTGGATTCTGTGTCTCTCTTTCTCTCTCTGCCCCTCCCTTGCTCGCACTCTGCCTCTCGCTCTGTCTCTCTCAAAAAATAAAAATTAAGAAAAAAAAATGATAATAAAACAGTATAGAAAAATAAGAATAAAATCTTGAAATTTGGGAAAATACAAGTAGAATGAGAAGATAAGGCCAGAGTTATTAGATATGCAAACAGCTATGTCCTATATAATTAATAAAATTTGCCAAAGCAAATCAGAAGCATGATCAGTTATAAAATTCAGTTTGTGAGAGGCAAAACAATACCTACACATTTCCTTAGAAGAAACAGAGGTTTTCTTGATACTTCATTCTAAAATGTCTCTGGAGGAACTTCGTACGGGAGATTCTGAATAGTGTAGTAGGTGATGCCATCCACAGTATCCATGTACAGTTGATCCTTGCACAACAGGGGGTGGGTCAGGGGTGCCAACCTCTCTCACAGTGGAGAATCCTCATATGACTTTTGACTCCCCCCAAACTTAACTATTAATAGCCTACAGTTGACCAAGAGCCTTACCAATAACATAGTTGACTAGCACACATTTTGTGTGTCATATGTATTATATATTGTATTCTTACAATAAGCTAGAGAAAAAATGTTACTAAGAAGATCATAAGAGGGCACCTGGTGGCTCTGTTGGTGGAGCGTGTGTTCTTGATCTTGTGGTCATGCATTCAAGCCCCATGTTGAGGGGTAGAGATTACTTAAAAAACATTAAAAAAAATTTTTTTTTTTTTTAAGTGTTAAGCCAGCCCTGCATTCCTGGAATAAGCCCCACTTGTTTGTGACATGTTATCCTCTTTTAATGTATTGCTGGGTTTCATTTGATAAAATTTTGTTTAGAGTTTTTGTAAGGGTTATTGGTCAGTGGTTTTCTTTGTAATTCCTGTCTGGTTGTGATATCACATAAGTGAATGAGTTAGAAACTTTTCCCTCTTAAAAACAGAAAACAAAAACTTTTCTCTCGTTCACTTTTTGTGTAAAAAATTTTATGTAGAATTGGTATTATTTTTTCTTTAACTAGAATACACCAGTGAAGCCATAATAACCTGAAGTTTTCCTAATTGGGAAGGTTTTTAACTACAATTTTAGTTTATTTGTAGATACTATTCAGGTTATTTGTTTTACCTTGAGGAAGGTTTGGTAGGTTATATCTGTAAAAAAGGAATTTTTTCTCCATCATATATTTTTCATATTAGTACTGTGTCATTTCTTTGAGTCAGATGCACTTAGTATTTTAAACAGATATGAGGCCCTAAAATTCTTCAGGCAGTTCTTTAAAATCTTAGCTTATTTCTTCCTACCTGCTTATGTTGCAGCTAGTGGAGTGACTTTCTTCCTGTTCTACCACTGCAGAACAATTACTGTTGCTTTTTTTCTTTTTTTAAGTATATTTATTTGGGGGGGTGGTGAGAATGAGTGGGGGAGGGGCAGAAAGAGAATCCCAAGCAGATTCCATGCTATCAGTACAGAGCCTGACGTGGGGCTCAATCTCACAAACCGTGAATTGATGACCTGAGCCAAAGTCAAGAGTTGAGCTTAACTGACTGAGCCACCCAAGCGCACCTGTTGCTTTTTAATAAGGTATTATTTACATAAAATAATGCATAGACCGTATGTGTACTGCTCAATGAGTGTTGACCAGTGTACAAACTCATGCAAGCACTGTCCCAGTCAAGTTACAAAACATTTGTCACTCTAAAACATACTCTCTTGTTTTTGTGTTTGTTTTTTTTTAATGAACTATACTATTATGAACATTCTTGTATAGATGTTTTGTACTGTAAAATAGCTAGGTCCTAGGGTAAGTATATGTTAATAAGAAAGTTATAAGGTGGCGCCTGGGTGGCTCAGTCGGTTAATTGTCCGACTTCAGCTCAGGTCATGATCTCGCAGTCTGTGAGTTCGAGCCCTGAGTCAGGCTCTGTGCTGGCAGCTCGGAACCTGGAGCCTGCTTCAGATTCTGTGTCTCCGTCTCTCTCTGCCCCTCCCCTACTCACACTCTCTCTCAAAAATAAATAAAACATTAAATTTTTTTAAAAAATAAGAAAGTTTATAAGAAACTGACAAATGGTTTGCAGAGTGGTTGTACCATTTGACTCTCCCATAAGTAATGTGAGTTACAGTTGCTGTTCATTCTCACCAATATGGGAGACTGTCATCCTTTTTAATTTTAGCCATTTTTGTATGACTAAAATTTTTGTATGTATCAGGCTCCAATGGCTACTACTTCTGCATTCTAATCATGGCGCTTCCAGTTACTAAGTGTATGACCCTGGTAAAATTACTGAGCTTAACTTCTTCATCTGTAAAATGGAATTAAAATCTACCCTATAAAGTTTATGAAAAGATTCATTGACATAAGATACATGAAAGTGTTTTTGCCATTACTGACACACAGTTCTAGGGACTGATAAATGGTATCTGTTTGTGGGGTGTATTAATTTTGGGCAGTAAGCAGTCATTTAGGCCACGGGTCAGTGAACTGTGCCCAAGGCTTCCTATTTTTATGAATAATATTTTACTGGAACACAGCCACACCCGTGTAACAGTAGAGTTGAGGAGTTGAAACAAGGACCATATGGCCTTCAGTGCTGTAAATGCTTAATGCCATTTACAGGAAACGTTTGCTGAGCCTTAATTTAACCCACTAAAACTATAATTTGTTAATGGTACTACATTTGTTGAGCAATAATAAAATGCTAAGGTACTAGCCTAGAGCACTTAACTTACCCATTTAAATTTGGCCCATATTGTTTAGATTTTCATGTTTAAAGATTACACATATATTTAAGAGCATTTTAGACTCCATTATTTTGATAACAAATGACCTAATTTCTTTGAAGTCACTATTGCCAAATAGTGACTTGTAAGTGCATTCATTCACTTGTTCTACATTAGAGGTAAAGGAACATTTGTATGTAAAACGTCATAAACTTGAGTGTTTATTGGAAAGGTGCACAGACACCTCCTATGTTTTTGATTAGCAAGACTTTCTTGGATGTGCTTTAATTCTTGGGGCCTGTGTATGTAAGGAATAAATTGTGCCTATAAACCAAGGCAGCATTATTACTTCAACCGATTTTGTTTCTGCAGGCAGCCCCTGGGGGACAGGCATCACTAATGAAAATATCTGATAGCACACTGAAGTCTGTACCAGCCACTTCACAACTCTCAAAGCCTGGAACCACAATGCTGAGAGTGGCAGGAGGGGTTATCACAACTGCCACTTCCCCAGCTGTGACCCTCTCAGCAAACGGTCCTGCACAGCCGGTGAGAATTAGCACAACAGTAGAAAACCATAATGAAACATAAAAGTATTAAGATATTTAGCAGGTATGCCAGTGGGCCATATTCTATTTAAAAAAAAAAAAAAAAAA